TCCCATTGGCACAGCACTTGTGACCTCCCTCCATCCCTGGAGTCAGCACCACCAGCATCCTCTGCCCAGTGTTCACAGAACTCTTGGATCTCCAGGAGTGCTGGGGGCTCCAGGGCTGAACACATAAGCTCTTTCTAACAATTTTGTCAAGGTGAAGGGCACAGTGGAGTGGAGCATCCTCACAGCACTTCTGCTTTTCCATGGGAGATCCCTCAGGAGAGGCAAGGCAGAGCTGCAGGCTGGAGAGGCTCCGTTTCCGTGGCATAGGACCCTGACAGACACTCAGCTCTGCAGCCCGGGCTGTGCCTGCTCTCCTGTCAGGGGCTGCTGGTGGCCTTGGGATAGTGGGGAAAAAAGAAGAATTGCTCTTCAGATTCATCCACTTTCCAGTTTAGAGATGGAAAACATTCCCTCAGCAGCACATCCCAGAGATGTTTTTCCCGGCATTTCAAGTGAAAATGCCTGAGCTCAGGCAGTGGCAGGAGGCACCGATGCTGCTTTGAAGCTTTTTGGAATGCACCCCTCACACAAATGTCACCATTTTGCAGGTTTCTGTCCAATCCAGCTGGGCTCTTGGGACCCACAAAAGATGGAAACAGGTTTATGGGATTGCAGCAGAAAGAGGAAGAGGTGACCACACCAGGCTGTGCCCCAGGAAGCTGGTCCCCTCCTCACACTTCACTTTCCTTTTTTCTTCATCATGAAACCAGAACGTGACCCAAGTGTGAGGAAAACCTTTGGGTCAGCCCTCACTGTCCCCAGCACTCACAGCACTGGGGGGACAAACCTCTTTCCAAGGAGCTGTTTTGTCCCCAGGCAGCAGCTCAGCTCATCACCCCCAGCCAAGTCTCTATAATGTTCTCCTCCTCCAGGAGAAGCCACTCGCCACGGTTTGTCACTGGCTGGTAAAACCCAGGTGGGATGAGTTCCCTGTGGTCAGTGCCCCGAGCAGCTTCCAGTCTCCTGCAGAGGGGACAGAAGAAATGTCCCAGCAGCCTTTCCCCTCACCATCAGGAAACCTTTCTCAGTGTTCATCCTAAAAACTCTTATTCATCTATTTTGGCACAGTTCTAATCTGGCCAAATCCTGCTTCTTCCAAATATGACTATGTCTAATTTCTCTTAATATCATGTGTCTCTCCAAGCAGTAGCCCAAGCAGAACAAGATGAGTTTGAGGTCACCTCTGTAGGAAGGATGATGTTGAAAGGAGGGCCATGATACTGGAATGCAGGGGGGTGGTACTGGATGATCTAGGTCCTTCCAACCCAAACCAGTTCTATGGAGGTGAAGACATGACTCAGCTTGCTGAGGGTGCACCCACTGGTGGTTGCAGAAGAGGACCTGCACGACCATTTTCTCCCAGGGCTTCAAAGGTTGTCCCAGACCAATGGAAACCACAGAACATCAATGTGGGACTGCTGGATCCCCAGCTCTGCTGCATCCAGCACCTCCCATGGGTGACAGACAGTGCCCAGACTCCTGAGACATTGAAGGGATTAAGCAGAGAAGGATAAAAGGGATTCCCCACACGTTACCTGCACACACACACATGCACGAGACCATGGTCACGTGCACATCTGCCCCTTCACACTAGTACCTGCAGCTGTAAAGGACAGTTTCCCAGCCAAGCCTGGCCTCTGTAGCTCCTGCCCCTGAGCATGTGAAATGTCTGGGTTGTGAGTTGAAAATGTCTGTCACCTTCTGCAGCTGGGGCAGCAGAGCAGGACCATGAAACAGCTGCTTCCCTCTGGGAGGTGCAGAAACATGGGCTGAGGGAGCAAGGAAGGACCCTGGCACTAGGAGAGTGATCAAATCACAGACTGGTTTTGTTGAAGGGACCTTTAAAGATCATCTAGATCCAACCCCCTGCACGGGCAGGGACACCTCCCATCAGCCCAGGCTGCTCCAAGCCCCATCCAACCTGCCCTTCCAGACCCCCAGGGATGGGGCAGCCACAGCTTCCCTGGGCAACTCCACCAGCTGGGTGTGTGACCATGTGCAACCAAGAGCCACTTCCACCCTCCTCAGTGGCCTCTCTCACAGAGCAGATCTCAACTCCCACGTCAAAACAGATGGACCAACACTGACTGCACATCTCCTGCTGGGCTTCGCAGGTGGAGAATTCTGTTGTGAGATGGATCAGGAGTTTAAAGAAGAGATTTGACCAGGTCTGTGGCTGAAAGGGAGGATGGGTTCTCCCAGGAGTTCCCCAGGATGTCGTAGCAAGTCCCAGCTCTTCCACCCTGGAGGCAACTGCTGCTTTCTGGTGACCTACAACAGAATTAACCTGCATGTGAGACATGGAGTGGAGCTCACAGGCAGCACATCAGGCCAATCCTGCACCACTGCTGTGAGAAGCTGCTGCTACAGGAACAGCCTCCTGAGTCCTGACACCAAATGTCACCTACACCTCCACCTCTGTGCAAACCCAGAAGGCATCACACTCAAAAGAGTTGGGCTCAACTGCTCCATGTCCAGATGGAGACCAGTGACCAATGATGTTCTGCAGGGGTCGGTGCTGGAACTGGTGCTTTCTAACATGTTTGCCAGTGACATGGACAGTGGGATTGATGCACCCTCAGCATGTTTGCTGATGACACCAGACTAGGTGGTGAGGTGACACACTAGAGGGGAGGGATCCATCCAGACTAGAGAAGCTGTGGGGAGAATGGATCAGAAACAGTCTGGAGGAGAAGGACTTGGGGGCGATGGTGGAGGAGAAGCTCAACATGGCCCAGCACCGTGTGCTGGAGCCCAGAACCCACCCGTGTCCTGGGCTGTGCCACCAGCAGCGTGAGCAGCAGGGCCAGGGAGGGGATTGTCCCCTCTGCTCTGCTCTGGTAAGACCCCCCTGCAGGGCTGGGAACACCTCTGGGTTCCCAAACATGAGAAGGACACAGAGAATGTGGAGTGAGTCCAGAGGAGGCCACGGAGATGATCCAAGGGCTGGAGCAGCTCTGCTCTGGGGACAGGCTGGGAGAGTTGGGGTGTTCAGCCTGGAGAAGAGAAGGTTCCAGGGAGACCTTAGAGCAGCTTCCAGTGCCTGAAGGGGCTCCAGGAAAGCTGGGGAGGGGCTTGGGACAAGGGCAGGGAGGGATGGGATGAGGGGGATGGATTGGAACTGGAAGAGGGAGATTGAGGTGAGACATGAGGAGGAAATTCTTTGCTGTGAGGGTGGTGAGAGCCTGGCCCAGGTTGCCCAGGGAAGCTGCAACTGCCCCATCCGTGGCAGTGTTGAAGGGCAGGTTGGATGGGGCTTGGAGCAGCCTGGGCTGGTGGGAGATGTCCCTGCCCAGGCAGGGATCTAGATTCTTAGAATGTATGATTCCACGATCTCACAATGCACCCCCCTGAGACCAGAGTCTGGGTGCCTGGAGAAGCACACCATGCTCTCCTGCCTTTTCCCTGCCTCCCTGGCCTTGCTGGATGGAGAATGAAGCTAAGGTTGTCCAAAAGTGTTTCTTGGAGCTGCACAGTCTTCCCTGCAGTGCTGAGCTCTCCCATTGGGTTTGGTCTGGTGGGAGCTGGATGCATAAAGGGGCTCTCAGACTCACTCCTAGTGCCCTGTGGTGCCCCCCAAACATGTCTTGTTGCCCCTTTCCTGTGTGTCTCATCCAAGGGTGTGGCAGATGGAGTCAAAACATCACATGGACTGCTACAGCACTGAGGGCTTGGACAACTGTCCCACCACTGAGCAGGTGGGCAGAGAAGTGCAGAAGAAACAGGCCTGAGAGATGGTCAGGCAGGGATTTCTGGCAGAAGACAACAATGGGCAGGGATTGCAGCATCTCTTTCCAAGCAGGATGGAATTCAGGTCTTCTGGATTAGTGTCTTCAGCAGAGACATCTTTCCTGAGCAGGTTCCATGGGATTCTCTTCACATCTGAACATCATTAGAGTGCAATTGATTCATCCAACTGGTGTCAGCTCAGCATCCAGCCTGAGATCCCAGGCTGGACAGGCAGTTCAGAACATCAACCACAGGTGTCATAAAGTGAGGCTTCCAAATTCTAGAAGGACAAGGCCTGAGAATCCTTATCTAACCTGGAAACTGGCCCTGGTCTGAGCAGGAGGTTGAACTGAAGACCTCCTGAGGTCTTTTTGAACCTGAATTAACTAGTAACTATACAATTACTTATTAGCTCCCATGAAAAGTTCAGGGGTGGGCAGATGGGTTAGGGGAAACCACAACAAAACCAGGAGAAGTGGTTGATACCTCAGTGCTTCTTTGAGCAAAGGTGTCTTCACCCTTCAGCAACAATTTCTGGCCTAATAAGCAATTTGACCCACATATTTAATGCTAGGCACTTGGCAGGTCCTTGGACCTATAAGAAAAGGTCCTGTCAAATCTTCCCTCCAGCCCCTTCCCCATGTGCCAGCACATGTGCCTGGCTGGGGGCAGCTGGAGGCTGGTGTCCTGGGTGGAGCCGTGGTGCTTCAGCTTCTGCTGGGACCACCTGCCCTGGTGTCAAGGCAGCCTGGGACACGTGGCATTCAGATGTCTGGTCCCAGAGTAGTCCCTCTCCAGCACATGGTGACCCCTCTGCTGCTGAACTTGGCATTGGACAGGGCACTTTCCACCTTGGCCACAATCGAGGTGCTCTCAGGTCAGTGTCTCCTGACAGGTGAGACATCCCAGGTTTTCCCAGGCTCCAGCTGTTGCTGTCCCAGATCCAACTCCTTGCAGGTCCCTTATCAGGCCCACCGGCCCCACAGGTACATCTCAGATACTTGGGGGTACATTTCATGGCTGCAGGTGCCTCTGTGCAGGGAGCTGAGTCCCTCCTTCTGTGCCTAGAAAGGACACGGATGTCTCCAGGTGTGAAAGCCCTTCCCACGTTGGTGCTATCCCCCGGGAAGTCTCTAGTTTTCCTGTGAAATTTCTCTTTCTCAGTACTTTGTCTCCCTCAACTGTTGGCTCACCTTGCTCTCCCCGGGATGAGACCAGGACCACGAGTGCAGCTGTGGCCCCAGCGCTGACGCTGTGCCCTGTCCCCGCAGGTCCCTGGCGCTGGGGCAGCAGTACAGCTCCCTGGGCTCCCAGCCCATCCTCTGCGGCTCCATCCCTGGCCTGGTCCCCAAGCAGCTCCGCTTCTGCCGCAACTACATCGAGATCATGCCCAGCGTGGCCGAGGGGGTGAAGTTGGGCATCCAGGAGTGTCAGCACCAGTTCCGGGGCCGCCGCTGGAACTGCACCACCATCCACGACAGCCTGGCCATCTTCGGGCCCGTCCTGGACAAAGGTAAACTGGGCAGCCCTGGGGCTTGTGGGGGGAAGCAGTTTTCCAGGGCGGGTAGAGCTGTCGCATCTCGGCTTGTGGACCCAGTACCACCAGTGTCCTACTAGGA